CGAAAAGTCGGCGCGGAATCTAAAATTAAAATATCGAAACGAACTTTGGAAAAAAAAAAATTACTTATTTTAATTTGATTTTAAATTTTCAATTATATTCAATATCCTAAAAAATAATTGATCAAAATTATATAAAGAATTAATATATTATAAGATTTATTTTTTTTAAATAAGTTTTTTTGAATATTTTTTAAATTATATTCTTATTAAAGTATAATTAATCGGTAAAATTTCATATATTCAATAATTAAGGATTCATCTTTTATTGTAATATTTTAAGCTAATAAAGTTTTGTTATTTTATTTTAAAAAATAATAAATAAAAAAACAAGGACAAAATAATTATTATAAAATAAATTATTTTTATATTTTATTAAAATCAAATAAACCTATAAATTTAATTTAAAAATGCTTCAGAAATTGTAAATGTTACTTAATTAGATTAAATGCTATAATTTGTTATAAGTAAATTAAAAAAAAATTAAGTTAATAAGCCTTATTATTGTTAAAAAAATTAAAAAAAATTCTTTTTAATTGACAAAAAAATATTCGTAAACTTAAATTCTAATAAAGTACTATTGACATTGTTGATATTTAGTTTCTAGCCTTAAGAATCCTACTATCAAAACCCTTTGGTTATTAGTAAAAAATTAGAAAAAAAACTTGATTAGATAAAGTATGATTGAAAAAAGGAGATGAAGTCAGATTAATGAAATTATAATCATATCTTTTAGAACAGAAATCTAAAAAAATGAAAATAAGACAAGGAAAACGGAAATAAAAGTATGAAATTTTTATGAGATTGTCATCTACAAGGTCGCATGTACTTGGAATGAAAATTCGTAAAAAAGATATATTCTTTTCTATAAAGTCCAAACCCACATATGTGATATGAAAATATGTACAGATTTTAACGTTCTTGCGAATCTCGTTCTATATTCTCCAAAACCTCAACGATCCCTCGGACAAGTCTTACTTTTACTTTCTCATCCTCATGATCTAATTGTCCGGCTAATCTAAAGTCTTTACGAGATACCTCCAACTTTTCATATACTTGTGTTAAGCATCGTTCCAAGAAAAATTTCAATTCGTTCGTCAAATTGATTGCATAATTATCCCCACTAAATTTTAGCCATTCGTCAACAATAATATTTGAATATTTGTTGATTTTGATCTCGCCACCAAATAAAATTGCTGACAACGGATCTATACAAGTGGTCCCGCGGAGAAATACTGATGATCCAGTAGCCTTAATCTTTTCAGAATATGCATAAAGCGTACCTATCGAACCGAACAAACTATTATTACCGTGTATGTTGGTCAGACGGTTTTCACGATGGGCTGCCTCAAACTTTACAGATTTTCTGTTGTTCACCGATGAAGGG